GTGTTGTAAATCTATTAAGAGTTTATGTTGTGTTGTGTGTACCAAATCCATATATAGAGGAGAGACTCTTGCGTGCACTTGTCTCCAAATAAATCAAACCATATCTTTTCTCGGCCCAAAGTCTCTCTCTTTTAAGAGATAAGAATCATCGTTTATATAAGTTTGATCCTTAAAACAAATTTGTATGAAAAAGCGAGGACCTAAAACGAAATATAGTGGAAATATATTCACACGTGGCGTTTTCCGATTGGATGCAAGTAGAGTACATACGCTCGTGATATGAGATATCTATTTGCTTCTTCTCTCTTCTCTTCCTCTCCCGTCGTCAAAGCCATGGCTATGGCGGCGTCTGTTCTCCATGCTTCTCCGCTCTCGCTCAATTACACTACTAGTACGCTCTCTTCATCTTTCTTATTCTTCTAACTTTTGATTTCATTTCAATAACCTATGAGGGATCGGAATCGGAATCGAAATCGGAATTCCGTGTGTTGTTAATTTTACATGATGATTTGGGTACCGATTTCGTTGATTTTTTACCAGCCTAAGCTTCTCTTGTTTCTTTAATGGATATGTAGAAAACCTGCGGATTAAGGCCACGGTTGGTAGTTCAGGATCGTTCGGTGGAATCAGAACGCAAAATAGAGTCTGTGCGGTGGGATTGGGTGGCTACGGCCTTGCCAGTAGAAGAAAGCAATCTCTCTTGATATGCCACTCCTCCATTGTAAGTCGAATTACTCTTTCTTTTTTGGGAACTTGCAAAATGATTTAGGGTTTTAACATCAGAATCTCATCATTACATTGATCCTCTTCTCTTGCAGAACGCTAAATGTAGTGAGGGACAAGGACAAACACAGACCGTTATTCGACAGTCGCCAACAATTACCCAGGCTCCTTCCCACTGTAAGCCCTTCACTTGTTCTAGTCACTGTAAGCCCTTTGTTTTTGGCTTTGTTCTAATGATGGCATTAAAGAGCCCCTTAGACATAGGAAGCTTCCAATGTCTACTTGTTTGATATTGCTATGTTCCAGTGATGGCATTAGAGGCATGATAGATTTAGGGATAGGAAGCTTCCAGTGTGTATCCAAATTATGAATTTAGCTACAAGTCAGGGTAGTTGTGAATTGCATAGTCTCATAGAATTTTCCAGGTGTTTTGATCTTAACCTGAACTAGTTTTAAGAGGAATACTCATGGTGTGT